AAACTAGTCGTGTTGATAACGTGTTGTAATACAGACTGCCAATATGTAAGACAGAGAAACGAGAAAGCGATAGGAGATAACATTGAGAGAACAAGAGAGAAGAAATACAATCATCAAACCATCATTCTCTACTCAATTACTTTAGTCCTACATATAAAAAAATACAATGTACATTAATAATCTAATGGACTCCTAGCTCATACCCACAAATCCTATATCGAGATAATGTGCACAAATAAATATTAGCAATTATAACATCTGAACTATACAAGTAACATAGAGTTACTAATTAAATTTTAATTTGAAAGAAGAAAAGTGGGCAAAATGCAAAAGAAATAGATATCCAACTATTCCATGATGTGTTCTTTAAAAGGGCAATAAAAATCTTGAATACATAAACTTCACAAGTACCTTCAAAAGATTTGCCAAACTCTTACACAAAACGGGAAACTCTTACACAAAACCTCCCGTTGAACATCCAAGGTCATACACATTATGAAATTTGTTTCTTATCTTTTGATGAAATTTGGCAACTTTAAAACAGTGTGTGCACTTGCTGGTTTTACGAAGCTGACTACATAAAACTGCCCGAGAATCGCAGCACGAAAGCCCCAACAGAACTGAAGTTCACAATTCACGGAACTCGTGAGACACTCATTATGCCTTAGATTTCTCATCAAATTTGGTAAAACTTTTGGCAATAATCAATATAGGAATTGGTGATTTCTGGAAAATGTGACAATTAGACCATGATCAAATATATGGGCAACTAATACCTCAAGAATGAAAATTTCAGGAAGCTATACAATTACAGAACAAATCCGGCACGCATCTATTTCATCAAACAAAACTAAAATGTCTCCATATTTCAAATTATCTAACAAACTAGTGATGCCATCCACACTCCGTACAAACTTACTCGGTTAACTTAAAAGCAACTGCTTACAGAGTCGATAAACAATGTCCGACTTTTCTGTTCAACCTTTCTTCATCCATTGAAGGTCATGCACTAGCCTACACGGAGAATCATAGCAAGTGACGAATAAATTGCAGGAGCACTAATCTCTTTCGTAACCTTATTTATATAAATGTAACAAATCGTCACTTACAACGCAGATCCACGAGTCAACAAAAAGTGCCTGATTTCTCAGTATTTCGTCTATGTTGGTATTAGTGCCATAATTTGGTTCCTGATGATGCCCATGCACTTTTGTATCTCGTTGTAAACAGGAAGGTTTTGTGAACTGCGTGGTTGTAAGTTTGTGACGGCAGAATCTAATATTTGTGCCACATCAGAAGGAGGAAACTGCCGTTCTGTACATTTCTGCATATCATACACAAATGTCGAATTTGACAAACATTTCATAATTTGCATGTTTATATTCTCTTACTTACCATTGATCCAAAAAAAAAAAAAATTATAAATCAAAATTATACCTTAAGAATTATAAATAAGTACCCCATGTACATGTAGATCTTAATTGCAACCTTCAGGTAGTGGTACCATGAGGTTGTTTGTAATATGCCATGAGGGAATATTTGTAATTTCAAAAGATATGCGGAGCCTTTTGCACGTATTGAGAAACATCTTTTTGCTAAATGACTCACCTGAATCACAAGCAAAGTCGCAACACATTTAGAGATCAGCTCCGAAGGAATTTGTATATTGAGGCCAGAGATATCCTCTTGTTTCGCATCATGTGGCTGAAAATAATTTTCAAAATTTAAGATTCTGATAAGTCCAGGCTACATAATTAGACTACATAAATAATTGAGGTTGAAAGGTCTTACCATTGGTATTGTGGAATCATCCGAGCGTAGCTGATCGTTTACATAGTCTATAGCTTCGTCATTTTTCTCAGCCGTGTTATCCTTACCATGGAAAGATGAAACTGCCTAAAGAACAAGGAAATACTTAAGAACTAAAATCCAGACGAAAACTTTTTAATGCATCTTTGTTATGCATGTCATAATATTAAAAGGATAATCTCAAATGCCACCCCTCACGATTAGTTTATAATCACAAAAATATCCAGTTATCATTTAAATTACAGATACCTCATAAATGTTCTGTACTTGTTTTACAAATTATTGCAGTTAGAAATATAACAGGTCTCCTTTTTTTTCCTTTTTCTTTTAATGAAGCTAAAACATCTGGAATGGTGTTTCTAAAATAACTAGCTTTGGAGAAGATTATAATGTTGGCTGGGTGAAAAAGAATCTGGAACAGAATAATAGTCGGGAATCTCATGAACCTGCACGGCTGCAGCTACCATTGCCCTGGCTTTTGTTGCTGAGCTATCTATGATCTCATTCGCGTGAGAATCTGGTTCATGAGTTTGACATGACGCACCGTCTAGAGAAAATCCATCACTAGGATCAGCAGAATAGCTTAAGGTCCTAGGCAATGCAAGTGGAATGCTACCTTGATATGTGTTTCTCTGTCTCAAGCAATACAGAGCAGATGAAACCTGTACTACAACCACCCAAGTAGGATGAGGGGAAGTAAATAAATGAATAAGAAGTAAAAGTTGGACCACAGTAATTGAAATAAACAAACAAAAGAATGTGAAACAAAATAAAATGATACAAAATATACCTAAAATATTACCGACATAATATTTGTAAAATCAGTTCATCTATTATGCTCAAGAGGGATGTATTTGGTAAGTAAATTTGAACTTCAAAACTCTCGATGAGTGCTTGGAAAACTGGTAGAATACTGATTTTTTATTGTTTGTCACTGTTATTTTTACGATTATGCAAAATCTTAGGGGTAGTTTTGACTTTTTGGAGTATACCCGAAGAAGAAACAAACCTGTTCATTGGTTTCATTCAATTGTATAAGTACTGCCGCATAATGCTTTCTAAATGACTCAGAGCCCTTCAAAAAGCTATCACCATCCTTTTGATTTTCAAACACATCATCATTCAAACGCCTCAACTCCAGAACAACAGCTTCCTGCACTCATATCCAGTACACAAAAATCAAAATCTCCAATACAAATCACAAGCTCCATTCACTTCTAATTTTCAAATACTATGTAAATAACATAATGAATCAACCAAACATAAATTGATCATAGAGAAGGAAAGGCTGATCTCAGAACTATAAAATGAAAATATAATTAGCATATGCGTGTCAATTGAGTAGAGAACAACGGAAAAATTAGCAAGTGAAAGCTGATAACCTTTCTATCCAGAGCACGAGTCAACTCAGCCAGAGCTCGGACATCAGCTTCCTTTGCCTGGATTTGAAAATATGTCGTTTTTGGGTAACCAGTAGTTTCCAACCCTGTCCTCGATTGCAAATCAGCATTTGCAGTAGCCACCTGGTGAATGAAATCAGGCTTGAGTTACTTAAATTTTTAGTATAAATCTTGAAGTTTGTTTCAAATCTTGAGTAAATGCCCTCGAAGTTTAGTCTGCCAGCTGTTTTAAAAATACAAATATTGTCTTGATATTTGGTTCTATTTTGCAGATTGCACCCTCGACAAAAATATATTTGTTAAAAGAAATGATATCCGTGAGGGGTGTTTGGTACAACAACAACAACAAAATAGCCTTTTAGTCCCAAGCAAGTTGGGGTAGGCTAGAGATGAAACCCAAGAGAACCAATGGTAAGAGAAACACAAAAAGGGCTCAAAACAAAATGAAGAGAAAACAAAAGGGGTGTTCGGTAATGTTAGAAAAATAATTATGTTTCCTTTTGTAACAAGTGAAACATCAAGGGTAACTCTTTTAGTACTACAACGCAATCAAGCAGCAGAAATTGTAATGATCTCTTTACTCTGGAATATCGAACAATGAAATCAGGCTAACAGATATGGAGTGCATTTAGAATAATCTTAGAGAAATTCTATAAAAAGATTTATACGAGAATAAATTGGAAGATGCTACTGTCTGTTAACAGGTTCATCTCAGTCCCTTGGCGCCAAACACCTCTGAGAAAGAAATGGATATTTAACTGGAAAAAAAAAAAAAAG